TCAGTCACCTGAGTTATGGCTCCCAGGCCTCCTGGTTTCGAGAGAGGCTTAGTGCCTAAGGGTACTTGGGAACAGGCAGGCCAGGGCTTGTCAGGCACCCAGGGACGCACAGGTGGGTAGTGGGGTTGTTAGGGGAAGTCTCCCAAGACTCAGCAGATGGAGAACCTCGTGGGAGAGGCGGTGCAACAGGCGCTGAACGCTCCGTGGCTGCTGCTTCTCCGCTCACTCCAGCCAGCACAGGAGTGCCGGGCTGCACACATTCCTCTCTCCGGACCCTGCCAGGGAGGAGGCCATCAGCCCCCTGGTGGCCACTTCCTCAATCTCTCTCTCATTTTCTCTCTCTCTCTCTCTCTCTCTCTCTCTCTCTCTCTCTCTCTCTCTCTCTCTCTCTCTCTCTCTCTCTCTCTCTCTCTCTCTTTCTCTCTCTCTCTCTCTTCTCTCTCTCTCTCTTCTCTCTCTCTGTCTCTGTCTTTCTCTGTGTGTGTGTCTCTCTCTCTCTCGGGGAGCCAGGAACACACTGAATCAAAGCTAAGCTGAGAAAGATCTTGGAGAAGTGACAGTTAGTTGGGGTATGTAGTGTGTGCAGTCAACCAGCGTTTACTAATAAACTACTGAGGCAGCTAGGAGGCCCTGGAGTCAGAAAGACCAGGGTTCAAACCCAGCCTCAGACACTTTCTAGCAGTGTGACCGTAGGCAAGTGACTTGACCTGCTGGCCTCAGTTTTCTCATCTGTAACATGAGCTTGAGAAGGAAACAGCAAACCACTCTGATATCTTTGCCAACAAAACCCCAAATGAGGTCACGCAGAGTCAGGCACACCAGAGCAAAAGCAACCTACTATGTGCCAGGCACCATGCCAAGTACTAGGGATACAAAGGAAGGAAAAGTCTCTGCTCACCAGGAGCTCTCAGTTCAGTGTAGGGGACAACATGCCAACAGCTACATACAAACTCACCACGAGCAGGACAAACAGGAAATAATCCTCAGGGGGATGGACTGGGGGAGGCTTCTTGGAGCCTCAAAGCCGAGACCCAACTGAAGGGCTGCGAAGGCCAAGCAGAGGATTTTGTAATTGCTCCCAGAGGTGAGAGGGAGCCAGGGGTTCATCGAGTAGGGGAGGTGACGTGGTCAGAGCTGTGCTGCGGCTGAATGGAGGAGTGGGGAGAGATGACACAGGCCAACCCACCAGCAGCTACTGCAGTGGTCCAGGTGCGAGGCGATGAGGGGTCTGCACCAGTGAGGGAAGGTGGCAACATCAGAGGAGAGGAGGCCTATTCCAGAGATGCTGCAAAGGCTAAATCCAGAGGCCCTGGTAACAGATGGGATGAGGGAAGGGGGAACTGGGGGGAGAGTGAGGAGTTAAAGGTAACACCTAGGTTGTGAGCCTGAGGGACTGAAAGAATGGGGGTGCTCCTGATGGTGACACACATTTGATAATGGGGAAGGGTTTGAGGGGAAAGATGACAAATTTGGTTTTGGACATGTTAGAATTAAGAAGTCTACTGGCCATCCATTTTAAGAGTTGGAGATGTGCGACTGGAGGTCAGCTGAGAGGCTGGGGCAGGATAGGAAGATTTGAGAATCACCAACATAGAAACAGTAATTAAATCCTTGGGAGCTGATAAGATCACCAAGTGAAGTGGTATAGAGGGAGAAGAGAAGAGGGCCTGGGATGGAGCCCTGAAGGACACATTCCATTAGAGGGAGTGATCTGCAGGAGGATCCTGCAAAGGAGACAGAGGATGAGTGTTCAGAGATGGAGGAGAACCGGGGGAGACAGAGAGAGAGGAGAGAGACAGAGACAGAGGAGAGAGAGGAGAGACAGAGACGGAGAGATAGAGAGGAGAGAATCAGAGACAAAGAGACAGAGAAAGAGAATCAGAGAGAGAGGGAAAGAGAGAGGGAGACACAGAGATAGAGAGGGAGAGAGAGGGACAGAGACAGAGAGAGATAGAGAGAGGAGAGATAATCAGAGACAGAGAGAAAGAGAAAAGAGGAGAGAGAGAGAACTGGGGGGAGAGAGAGGGAGGGAAAGAGACAGAAAGGAGAGACAGAGATAGAGAGGAGAGGGAGAGACAGAGAATCAGAGAGAGAGACAGAGACAGAGAAAGAGGAGAGAGAGAGAGAGAGAGAGGGAAGGAGGGAGAGAGGAGAGAGACAGAGAGACAGAGAGAGAGGAGAGAGACAGAATCAGAGAGAGAGACAGACAGAGAGAGGAGAGAGAGAATCAGAGAGAGAGAGGGAGACAGAGACAGAGAGACAGAGGAGAGAGAGAGGAAGGAGGGAGAGACAGAAAGACAGAGAAAGAGAGGAGAGGGAGAGAGAAACAGAGAGACACAGAGACAGAGAGAGAGAAAAGAGAGGGAGAGAGATAGAGAGACAGAGACAGAGAGGAGAGACAGAGACAGAGAGAGATAGAGAGGAGACAGAGAGGGAGAGACAGAGAGAGAGGGTGAGACAGAGACACAGAGAGAGACAGAGACAGAGAGAGATAGAGAGGGAGAGAGAGACAGAGAAAGACAGAGACAGAGAGAGGAGAGATAGACAGAGACAGAGAGGGAGAGACAGAGAGAGACACAAAGAGACAGAGAGAGACAGAGAGAGGAGACAGAGAGAGACAGAGAGGCGAGACAGAGAGAGGTGAGACAGAGACAGAGAGAGGCGAGACAGAGACAGAGAGAACCAGAGAAGAGAGACAGACAGAGAGAGAGAGAGAGAGAGAGAGAGAGAGAGAGAGAGAGAGAGAGAGATGTCCTGAAAACCTAGAGAGAAGAGAGTGTCAAGGAGAGGGTGATGGATGGTGTCAAAAGCTGCAGTGAATGTTGAGAAATAGCCATTGGATTTGGCAATGAAAAGATCATCAGTAACTTATGGAGAGCAGTTTTGGCTGAACGATGAGGTCAGAAGCTGTACTGTAGAGTTAAGAGTGAAAGGAGCGGTCCACCTGTGGTCGACAACCTTTTAAAGGAGCAAGGCTGCCTCTATATGTAAGACGGGGGTGAAGGAGGTGCGAGGGGCAGAAGGCACCTGAGTGATGGGAGATGAGGAAGAGCTGCCTTGCTGCAAATGGCCTCCATTTTTAAAAATTTCTCAGTTGAGAGAATGAGGTGGGGGGAACCTCTAGCAGGCTGGAGGAGGGCTGCTGTGGAGAGTGGGAAAGGGAGTTGACGAGGGAGGTAGAGCAGGATTGCTGAGAAGCACTCGTGACCCACGTAAGGTTCCGTGACAGATATTTTTATCAGACCTCGTCAGAATGGTTGTGTGACTTCTTTCCACCTTTGCTCACCAGTATGTGTATGGGAATGAGGCTGCGGACGGCGAGAGGGATGCAAGGCTGAGGCTTGCCTCGGGGCCAGGGACGGAAGAGAGGTCAGGGTCGAGTTGAACTGATTCACCACAGGGTTGAGACGGGGAGGAGAGGGGTGGCTTGTGCAGGGGAGGCAGCCTGGGAGAGAATGGAGGCGCTAAGAGAGCACAAGTTATACCGTGGACAGAGAGGAGTGGAAAGCCAATGGCATGTGGCCAGAGGAGGGGATTTGGGAATTCTGGAACATGGTGGTGGCACATTTATGGGTGATGGCAAGATCCAGGGTAGGACCATCTTTGTGTGTGGCTGAAGTGGGTCATGGGAAGTGAGTAGGCTGAGGAACCGAGTAGTTGGGGTGTTTGAAGGAGAGTCAGTATGTATGTTGAAGCCCCAAGTACAAGGGAGCGAGTTGAGGAGGAGAGACAAAATGTGATCCAGGTACTTAAGTGGCTGAGAGGGGGGAGAATCAGGGGCAGCTAAGTGGCACTACAGTGGATAGAGCACTGGCCCTGGAGGCAGAAGGGTCCAAGCTCAAACCCAGCCTCAGGCACTTACTAGCTGTGTGACCCTAGGCAAATCACTTAACCCTGATTGACTGCCTCAAAAAAAAAAGTATCATATAGGTATGTAAGCAACAGCTTCCAGGCCATAGGAACCTCAAAGGGGAAGTTACAGAGGAGTGAGGGAGGGAGATGCAGAACCTAGAAGCGGCAATGGGAAGAAGAGCACAGTGGTCAGAGCTGAAAAGGGAAGCCAGGGAGGCCATGGTGAGGGCTGGAGTGGGGTGTGGCTTGGAAAGAGCAGAAAAGAAAAAAGGCTTAAAATGACAGCAAGCTCACTGCTGATGGAGCAGGAGCTCCTGACGGCACAGTGGAAGGTCGGGGAGCTGGCTGGGATTTTGGGTGGGTGGGGTTGAAGGGCATGGGAATAAGGAACTGGGTGGTGGGGGAAGGGCAATGGGGTTTGGCATCACCGAGAAGTGTAGGCTATGACCCAGCGGGAGTCTGTTCGTCACTGAGGGAAAGGTCCACTGGACGCTGAGCTGGATTCCATGGTTAGAGCTGGATTTGGACCCTGGGCTTAAGTCCTGGCTCCACAACAGCACTTGCTGTTTTGATTCTCTGTGACTCAATTTCCTTACTTGTAAAAGGAGGGATTGGACTGAGTGGCCTTCACTGTCTTTGACCCCGTTGATCAGATGATGGCAGGGCTCAAAGGCCCAACTGGGCCCCTTTGGGCAGCTCCTTTCTCAGTGGGAAACTCTGGCCATTCACCTCCCTCCCGCACTCACCACTGCCTCCCAGCCAAGCCGACACACCCCAGGGGCCAGCATGAAGGCACACGCCAGCGTGCACACACACACGCACACGGGCACAGGTGTTTTCTCCTTTTTTAATCAATAATTGTCAGTTTATCCAACTGGACACCAGGCTTGCAGCCTCAGAGCAGAGGCAGCGCCACCCCAGGCTACCTGTGTCCGTCCAGGGAGGCCAGTTCCTGAGTAAGAGCCAAGAGCTGAGGACCTCTCCACCCTCAGCAGAGGGCAGCAACCTCCCCAAACACAGCTCTCACAGCAATGAGTAGAATACCCCCCTCCCCTTCCCCCACGGTGGGCAGGAAGAACCCATGGCTGCCTCAGTTTCCCCAACAGCCTCACCTGGGGAAGGGGAGGAGGAAAGGAGGGTTTTCCTGGGACATTCAATAAATAAGTTAGACTCTGCACCCCACACACCTCCCATAAGGCCTAGCCCTGGCTCAGATCCCATGGCCCAATGGGAGGGCACAGCGGTGGAAGGAAGTCTCCACAGCTCCATGTCATCTTAGCCCCCCGAGCCTCCTCCTTGGAGAACTCCCAGGAAGTAAATAAATAACACCCCCCCCAAACCCCAGCTGGGGTGGGGCTTGGGGCCAGGACTGGGGGGGCATCTCTTCCCTTCCCCTCTCCCTGGGCAGTTAGTAAACAGTCTTGGGTTAAAAGCAGATGTGGTTCCAGCTGTCAGGAGGGTGAGCACTGGGGGGCTTCCCTGGGCCCAAACTGGCAGGCAGCCCCCTCATGTCTGCTCCATGGCTCCTCCAGGCCCCCCACCCTCCTCTTTTGCTGGTGGCTCCAGGAAGATGGGGGTCACCGATGGTGGCTTCTTCACCCTTAGGGGAAACAGGAGGAGGCCTCAGGCTCTCAGAGCTGAATCCAGGTCTACCCACATGTGAATAAAAATCCTCCTACCATGTCCCCAGCAAGGGAGACCCAGCCTCTGCCTTGAGACAAGAACAGGGAACTATCACCTCCTAGGCAGCCTAGGCCATTCTGGGGGGCTCTCCTGCCCTCTGTTAGTGAACTCCCCACCCCCCCCACCAATCCAGCTTCAATCTTCCTCCACCGCTCCTGGTTCTCTCCTCCGGAACCAAGCAGAACAAGCCTGAACCCTCCTCCGGGACCAAGCAGAACAAGCCTGAACCCTCCTCCTGGCCCGTCAGATACTTAAGGCAGCCACCATAACACCCCCACCCCTAACTGATGAAACTTCTCTGGGCTTAGACCCTACGTGGCAAGGGTAAGGGATCAGGAGGTACTCACGAGTACGGGGAGGCCGGGACGCCGACCACCAGGAAGTGATTCTTCTTCCGAAAGAGTCTCCATAGGCCCCGGTGGTTGCCTCGGACATCCAGGTCCCAGATGTGCAGGCACTGGGGGAAGAGTCCAAGTCAGAGGCCACCCCTGCCCGCTGAGCCCTACCTAAGGGCCTGTTGCATTCCCAGCCTGGGATGGAAGGTCCCAGAAAACTGATTCTGGGGGATAGAAGGGGCTCCTAAATGGGGAGAAGGGCTAGAGGTTTTCCGGCCCTAGTGCTTAGCAGGGAGGCATCATGAGTAGGTACCTTGGCAAGCTGGGTCCATGTAGCAAAGTCATTATCCTGTTCCATGCGGATGAAGGTCACATATGTGCGGCCCTCGGTATCTGGCACGAATGAGTCGTCACATGGGTCCTTGCTGTGGTCTAGGACCTCAGCCTCACTGGGAACCAGAGTGCCGATGAGGACCAGGTCCTGGCCTCTCCTCCTCCTCCTCCCAGCGCCCTCCCAAGCCCACAGGGCTAGTACCTGAGTAGGCGAAGGACCTCTACCTCATAAGCATCCTTCTTCAGGCTAGAGGGAGAAGGACAGCACGGTCAGGGCTGCCCTGGGCTATTCAGGGGATCCAGGAGGGTGGGACAGGGGTGGGAGAATAAAGTCCCGGGGACTTTAGGGGCATACCTCCCTCCCCCCACATCCCAGCCCCACCTGTCCACATTCCAGAGCTGGACGCTGGGGACGGTATTGAATTTGTGCTTCTTAAAGTAGGCCTCCTGTGGGACAAAGGTCAGGATGGGATGAACTGTCCCCAGCTGGTGTGTTTCCATGCAACTTTCCCCTCCCCCCTGAAGGAGCCATCTTGGGAACCTTGGGATAATGGAAGGATCCTTGGATTTGCACCCATCTCCACTAAATGCCACTCAAAGGTAGCTGTGAAAGCTAGCGTCTAGGTGAGAAGGAGTTACACTGGATAATGCCTGGCTCTGGAGTCCCCTGCATGGGGGCAGGGGGTGGGGCAGAGCGACCCAGAGGGCTGGCAAAGGGGGAGGTTCTTGCTTCTAGTAGGTACGGAGGGCAGAGAGGACTTCTCAGGAAGAGCATGTTACATTTGTGTTTCTGCTGGTGACAGGTCACAGCGAGGCCCGACTGGACTGGTCCCCATCCCAGAAGAAAAGAGTTTCTCTATTCTCTAAGTTACTAGAGGGAACTGAGAAAGGAAGCTTTCCTTGAGAGAACAGAAACAGTGCTTCAAAAAGACAACAAATAAAGGGGGTCTGTAGAGGCAGAGGAGGAGGGCAGGCAGGTTCATGTCAGGAGGCGAGAGGTTGGAAGAATGTGGCCCAGAGAACATCTGGAGCCAAGCACCAAAGAAGCTCGAGGCTCTTCTTAGGGGGACGAGGGAGGAAGCTGCTTCTTGTACTCCAAGGCATGAACACTGGATCAACTTACAAGAGGTGGTCAGGAAGGACTGGAGGCAGAAGCAACCGGTGTGTGAAGGAGTGGGAGAGGGGGACGGCGTCCCTGCCCTGGCCACTGTCTGTCTGTCTGACAAAACAAGTTCAAGGCCCCCCATGGGCCCGGGGCCTGTGAAGATTTCACTTCTCCTGATTCGTGTGGGGACAAAAGAACCCTGGAGAAACTAAACCCTCACTAGTGCCCATCAAAGACTTCTGAAATGAACAGCTAGCTGCCCGAGACGATAGTGCCCGAGAACGATCTTGGGACCACAGCTTAAAGTCCAGAACTGCTGGGCTCCTCTTGGCCAGGGATGGAGCTCACCTCCCAAAGCCCAGTCCAAGTAGACCTGTCTGGGTCAGAGATGGCCTACAGTGAAGAGCCAGGGGAAAGAGCGAGCTTTGATCAGTACTTACCACAAGCAAAGCACTGTGCAAAGAACCAGGGATATAAATAGAAAAAACAAAGCAGCACGTCCCTCCCCTTGGGGATTCACTCTTAATTGGAAAAGACAAAACAGGAGGTTCAGGTGCAGGGTAAACAGTGACCTGGTGGTAGGGCACATGAAGGTAATCTGCTCCAAGAAGTGACAAATACAGAGAATCATGAAAACATTCACATGAACTGATGCAGACAGAAGTCAGCAGAGTCGAGAAAACAACATAAACAATGACTGCAATGGCCACAGAACAACTGTGGCCCCAAGAACGCACTCGCCTCACCAGCTCTCTGGTCTGTGGGGCAGAGGGTCCGCGGTCACAGAACACTGCCCATATTTAAAGACATTTAATGTGTTAATCAGCTTCATATCTCGCTAAGAGGCCCCACAGACAATGAAGTAAAATCACCATGAAGCATTATGTACCAAAAGGCGGGGCGTCCAAGTTCTTCAAAGTTAAATGAGTCACAGGAGGAAACAGACAGTAAAACCATACTCTCCCCTCTCAGAACTAAATAAAATTAGAGGAATTAAGGAGTTGAAGAAATTAAGGAGAATTTTAGAAAATTTAGACATTATAGACCTTCGGAGGAAAATGAATGGGAATAAAAAGGAGTATACTTTTTTGTCAGCTGTGCATGGCACTGTCACAAAAACTGACCATGTATTAGAGCATTAAAAACTTCACAATCAATGTATTAATCAGCTTTTCTGGCTTTTTTTTCTTTTCTTCCTTTTCTTTAAAAATACTGTTTGTTATATGAGATGGCTCTCTGGAAGGAATAGGGAAGTAGGAATACTGAGGGAAATCTTGGTGATATATTAAAAAGAAAAAGACAATGATTTAACTTGTTTTAATTTAAGAAAAAAAACAAAGACCTAGTGGTCCTTAGAGTACAGCAACAGGGTGAGGAGTGAGGCCCTGAAGTCTGGAGGGTTCAGAGCAGAGGGCAGGGTGACTCATTCCACCTAAGCCTTTTCACCCACCAATGTAGGAGGACTCCTCTTCTGCCTACACAGCCACTGTCATGGTCAACCTGCTGAGTGCCACCTGTGACCTGAGGGGCAGCAGCAGCTACTGAGGAGGAAGTGGGGCAGTGGGTTCAAGTCTGGACAACAGGCAGCCACTGCTGGAGCCCTCCCCCCCAATCCCAGCAGGCAGGATGAGAGACCAAGTTGCTCAGACCAGCTGCTGTTTGAGATGTCCCCTGTGAAGGACAACTTCTGGGCATCCAGCGTAGCCCTGACCAGCTGCTGCAACTCAAGCCCAGCCTGTGGATAGCGCCATGGTCCCACCCCTCCTTCCCTTGGCAGGATGACGGGCAGTCACTGCCTCTGCCAGCCACTGGTGGATAGCGCCATGGTCCCACCCCTCCTTCCCTTGGCAGGATGACTGGCAGTCACTGCCTCTGCCAGCCACTACCCTAAACACCCCTTGTTGCATGGCAAAAGCCCTGGCATCTGTCGTAGCATCAACCAGCTGCTGATAATCCCCACAAAGTTCCTGTGAGGAGCCTAAGCCATGGCTGGCTGTCTACCACTACAACAGTGGCTATTCCCCATACACCAGAAGCCATTTTGTTAAGAGGGGAAGGGCAAAAGCTGTGCATCTCCCCCCACAACAGATCTGCCAAACCCGGGATTCTTAGAGAAAACAGGGATGGCAGAAACAAGGTCCGGTATTTCCTAGGAGAAAACACCCAAGAGGAAAGCCAGCAATAAACCCCAGCTTTGGGCGCCTCTGCACAAACCCAGCTGATTCTAGCTGTGTCTTCCAAAAGATGGAAGACACGTGGGAGAGAGCTCTGCTCTGGACCTGATCGAGGCCAAAAGAAGAAACGAGGGAAAATGAGAAGAAAGCCCAGCAGAGTCTGACAAGTGCCCAAGATTTTGAGGGAGATGATTTAAAATGTGTCCAGACAAACAAAGATTGTATAACATCTCACACCCTAAAATTAGCCCAAGAGGGAAGAGGCAAAATAGATTATGTTGAGAAAGGAGAAGGGAAGAGCTCATGTGAAGGGAGCACTGGGGAAGCACAGGGCACTCAGTGATCAGCTCATTCTAAAAGACAATATGGAAGACAGAAGGACAAAAGGTGGAAAACAAATAGAAAATTGAGGGCCAGTCTTCGAAGAACTGCACCAGAGGATAGGCAATAGGGGAACATGCCCCCCTCTATTACACAGAGACAAGGAACCACGAGCAGAGAATGTGGCATAAACCATCTGCCATAACCAACTTGGCTGAGTTCTTTTTTATTATAAGGAGGCTCGATGTGGGGGTGGGGGTGGAATTATATATCTGCAAATGACTGTTGGGTGAAAAACAAAAGGCATCAGTAAAACTGCAGAAAAAGAAAAAAGAATCATGTTTCAGAAAGCCCAGAGGAAGCTCAGATTGAGGAAGGATGCCAAGGACAACCAAAAGGGACTTCCGGAGTCAGGAAAAAGCCCAAAGAAGGGGTAGGATGCCTAGTTGGGGTGGATGGGACAAGGACCACGGAGGATGGAAGGAGGACAGAGCCTCTGGCTCCTTCCCTACTTCTGACACGCATGCCCATGTCTCCCCCATCCCGAAACACCCCTCTCCTGATCTTCCCATCTCTGCTAAGTATTGTCTGCCCTTTACAGCCAAACTTCTTAAAAAGGCAGACAGTCTACCACCCGGTGCCTCCTCTTTCTCTCTTCTCACTGTCTTCTTAACCCCTTTACAATCCAGTTTCTGACCTCTTCATTCCACTGAAGCTGCCCTCTCCAGTTACCAACGATTTCTTAGCTGCCAAAACCAGCGGCCTTTTCTCCGTCCTCATTCTCCTTGACCTCTCTGCAGCCTTTGACACTGTTGATCACTTTCTCCTCTTCTCTTGAGGTTTTCAGGACACTCCCTCCCCACCCCACTGCCTCCTCTCCTTCTACTTCTCTGATCCTCCTCCAGATAACGCCCTTTCACCATGGGGGTCCCTCAGGGCTCTGGCCTGGACCCTCTTCTCCCTCCATACCATTTCACTCGATGATCCCCAGGATCTAATCACCATCTCTGTGCTGAGGATTCTCAAATCTCCTTTTTCTGACCCAGTCTCTGCTGACCTTCATTCTCATATCTCCAGCCACCTTTCAGACATCTCAAACTGGATGTCTAGTACACCTCTTGAACTCAGTTACACCCAAAACTGAACTCATTCTCTTTCCCCCTAACTTCCCCCCGCTTCCTGATTAGCACAGAAGGCAACACTACCCTCCCAGACCTGTGGGCTCAAAATCTAGGCGTTATCCCTGGCCTCCTCCCTATGTCTCACCCCCACACCCAATCTTCTGCAGCTCTTGAATATGCTCCCTTCTCTCCTCTGACACCGTCATCCTTCCAGTGCGGGCCCCTCATCACCTCATGCCCAGATCACTGCAGTAGCTGCTGGTGTCTCTGCCCACTCCAATCCATCCTCCAGTCGGCTACCAATGCGATTTTCCTAAAGTACAGGCTGGATCGTGTCACTCTCCTACTCAATAAACTTCAGTGGCTCCCTACTGCCTCCAGGATCAAATATGAAATGCTCTGTTTGGCCTTCAAAGCCCTTCTTGACCTGGCTCCCCGCCTCCTTTCCAGTCTTCTTACATCTCACCCCCCAAAAAGCACCCTTCCATCCAGTGACCCTGGCCTCCTGGCTGTTCTTTGAACATTTCTTGGCTCCAAGAATTTTCTATGACCGGCCCCCATGCCTGGAACTCTCTCTCTGCTCTGCCCTGCCTACTGACCTCCCCAGCTTCTTTTAAACCCCACCTTCTAGAGGAAGAAGCCGTCTCCACCCCCTCTAATTCCAGCACCTTCCCTCTGTTCATGACTCCCTAGTTATCCTGTAGAGAGCTACTGTCAGCATGTTGGGCCGTCATTTGCCTCATTTTGTAGCCTTAGCACCCAGCACAGTACCTGGCACAAGCAGTTGCTTAATTAATGCTTTATGACTGACCGATGACTCCACTGTTACTTTGCTTTCCTCTACTAAGGGAATGATCTTGAGCCTGGGAAGGAGAGAACAAAAATGGCCAATGGAGATCCAGCCCTAACCTCTCTCTCTTGTACTTCAGTCCTGCATCTCCGACTGCCTGCTAGGCCTCTCCAGCTGGCTGGCCCCAGGTGCATCTCAAATTCAACACATCTGAAACGGAACTCATGGTCTCTCCCACTCTTACCATCCCTGTCACCTGGCTCCATTCACAACTCTGGGGCCTGGCCCCATCCCCAACATCCTGGCAGTGCCCAAGCCCCGTCCTTCCCACCCGCTCAGGATCCCTCCTTATCAGTGTTACAGCCTCCTCGATGGTCTCCCTGCCTCCAAACAGTCTTCCATCCAGGCTGCCAGACACATACATAATCTGGTCTGACTAAGGCACTGCCCTGATCAAAAGTCTTCAGTGGTTCTGGGACCCAGTAAAAAATCCTCAGCCCAGACGAGCAGAGGCCCTCAACCGCAGGGCTTCGGCCAGACTTGCCTCCATGACTAACCTTCATGCCAAACTGCACTCCTGGTGGTATCCGGACCTTGTCGTGGCTCTGATTTTGCCTACCTCCACACCCTATCCCAGGCCTGGGAGGCCCTCCTTGACTCCCTCCTCCCTTCTGCCGCTCAGGTGCCCTCCAGGCTCGGTATGCGACCCCTCCTTCCCGCAGGCTTCCTCCGTCCTCTCCACCCGTCCATGTTCTCTGCCTGCTCAAATGAGCTCACGGCGACTTGTCTGCCAACATTTTCTACTTAAGAAACCTGAGAGCAGAGACTACCGCACTTTATTTTTGTATCGCCATCACTCTGCCCAGTGCCTGGCACACAGTAGGCGCCTCGTCAATGCTGACTGAAATGAATTCATTGCGTGGGGTCGCTGCTCCCTTGGCACACACTGACACAAGGAGGAGACAAGCGTGTGCTTCACTCACGTGGAAATAGCCATTCATGTTGAGGCCCACGATGCCAAAGTGATAGGAACGGGAAACATCAGGGATGATGCACTCGCGGCCTCGGCGCTGCTCGGGCATCCGCATCCACATGTCCCAGTCCCAGAGCTGGCAAGGGAGAGGCACCGAGTCACGACTTATCCCTGCCCATGGTGGGAGGACACTGAGGTGGTGTGGAGGAACTGAGGCATGATGGGGAAACAACCAAGGTGGGAGTGTGGCGGTAGATGTGGTCATCTGGGCGGCAGCGAAGAGGGCTGGGCAGCAACTGGGCACTGGCAGCGGCACGGGAGGAACAGGGGGCACCTGGCTGGGCTTCCGCACTGGGGAGCTCACCTTCTCCGGCGTGGGCCAGCGAGGCTCTAGCTCATCCTTATATAAGGATTTCCTGAGCACCCAGCCCAGGCCAGGCATGGTCTCCACTCGATAAAGCAGAGCTGGGTCTTCGGCTGTGTGCTCGTAGCCCTGGGGGTCAGATGAGACCATCAGTCCTAGCAGGGGCTGCAGTAATACCCCTCCTCAACACACACACACACACACACACACACACACACACACACACACACACACACACACACACACCCACCACGCCTTTTCCTCCTCCTCCCCCAAACCCGTACCCAGGCCAGGCCCCCACCTGATCATTCCAGGCAGAGATACAGTAGACGGACTCATCTTCCTCTAGCAGGTGGATGGACTGACTGAGGAAGCTGAAGGGGATGCAGGGAAGGAATCTCTGAGCCTCAGAGGTTTTCCCCTGTCTCTGGCCCAGCCCCTTCCCCCATTCGAGGTGCCCTCATTTGGGAGGCCCTGGGCTCCAGCACCCAGCTTAAGCCAGGCCAACACAGAAAGGAGAGAGAGAGGAATGGAGGGCTAGCCGGGCCCGTTCCCACTGGCCAGCTCAGACACTGTCCTCCCTCCTGGGCCAGGAAGCCTTCCTTCCTGCCTACCTCAGCTTGCTCTACTCTCTCCTAAAGCAGCTGAAGCTAAGCTCGGGCCAGATTCTAGGATTCCAGCCCGCCAGTCCTGCAGCTCCAGGCTGACCTGAGGAGTCTGGTCTCACGCCAGGATGGCCCACCAAGGCTCCTTACCTGAAGAAGTCAATGGCAATGTCCAAGTCTTCTTCAAGCACCACAGCAAACTTTGCTTCCTGTGGACAGGATGGGAGACGCGGTGGGACATCCCCTGGCCCTGCTCTCGAGGCACCAGGGGCCCCATCCCGGCCCCAGGTAACAAGCAGCCCCACTGTCTCCAGCTCCCCAGCACCCTCAGGCCCGATGGGCCAGGAACCCAGGTGTCCCCTCCCCTCCCTTCCCGGGAACTGCCCGTACTCACAGGGTGGAGGTTGAAGGTGGCGGTGAGGCTGGCCTTGTAGTGCTGGATGGGGAAGAAGAGGAGAAGAGCTTGAGTGGGACCTGGCCCCTGCAGCCCTGGCCCTACGACCACACCCCTCTCTCAGGTAGTACCTGGGACACTCGGGCATTCTTGATGCTGATGGGCGTGTGCTGGATCCCCTTCAAACCGAACAGGGCGACCACATCCATGGGCTCCTGGCGGGTGGGAGAGGCCGCAGACACTCTGCTGAGCGGTCCCCCAACCCCTGTGACCTCACGTCCAACCCAGCATCAATCATCAGCTCTACCCACTTGACTCCCAGGCCAAGACCCCTCTAGACTCCTGCCAGCTTCAAACTGGAGCTCTCCAAAGGGATGGAATCCAACCCAGCCTCAGGGGCATCCCCTCCCCCACTCCTGCCTGGGGTCCCACACAATGCCCAGTCTTGTTCATTTAACATCCACATTTCGCATATTCAGTCAGAGCTCCCCACCCCCCCTACACCTCCCCTCATTAACTCTCATCCAGATGGCTTCGAGAGCTTCCTAATTAGGTCTCCCCTCTCCCCTAGCCTCCACCCAGCAGCCAAAATCATCTTCCGAAAGCACCCCTCCGACCAGGTCACTCCTGTGCTCAAGAGGCCTCGGCAGCTCCCTACTGAGATGAGTCGGACCAAAGTACAATTAGAGAGTCACTCAGAACTGGCTGTACTCCGGGAGTGGCCACTGGTAGTTCTGGGTCAACAGGGTTCTCCAGGGACCAGGGCTGGGCTCTGTGGCTCAACAATCGATGACCTGGTTACAGACCATCAGGGGCCTGAGCTGCTTCTCAAACTTGCAGGTGAGCTGGGCTGGGAGGCACAGGGCAGATGCTCCAGACTCAGACCTGACCAGGCTAGAGCAGGAGTCCTTAGCTCGGGATCCGGGGGCTTTGGATAACCGTATTCTGATAGAATTGGTTTCCTTTCTAAAGGTATGTATTTTATCTTGTGCTTTTAACAACATGCTTCTGATAAGAGGAGGTCCAGAGGCTTTTGCTTCAGATTGCCACCCCCAAGGACATAACACCAAAGACAGGTGCCCCTCGCCCCCTACAGTACTGCGCTGAACTGAACAAGATGAAATTCACTGGGGATAAATGCCAAGTCTTATACTTGGATTCAAAAATATTCACCTTACGAGTGCAAGAAGGGAAAGGCATGGACAGTCTTTGCACTGAAAAGGATCTGGGGGTCTGAGTGGACCAGAAGCTCCCCATGAATCAACAGGGTGATGAGGCTTCCCAGAAAGTAAATCTTCCCCCTCATCCCTCATGTCCAATCAGCTCCCAAATCTCTTTTCTTCCGCCTTCCCAGCGTCTCCTGAATGTTCCCCCGTCTCTCCTCTGACACTGCCCCCACCCTTGGACTCTTCCAACAGCTGCTGGGGGTCTGCCTGCCTCCAGGCTCTCCCACTCTGGTCCATCCTCACTCGCTTGTCAGAGTGGTCTTCCCAAAGTCAAGGTCTGACCACGTCACGCCTGTCACCTCCAGGACCCAACGAAAACGCCGGTTTAATGTTCAAAGCCCTTTACTGAGCCCGACTGCCCATGACCCCCTCCCCCACGCTCGGCACCCCAGCCAAACCGGCCTAGTTGCCGTTCCTCAGATGGGGTACCCCATCTCCCACCTCAGTTCCTTTGCCCCGGCTCTCCCCTCTGCCTGGCATGCTCTCCCTTCTCACCTCTCCCTCTCTGACTCCCTGGCATCCTTCAAGGCTCAGCTCAAGCTCTTCCTTCTCCATGAGGCTTTCCCTGATCCCCAGCTGCTAGTGCTTCCCCCTGAGATGATCTGGCCTCTCTGTGCTGTCTTGTTGTCTACTCTGCCTCGACTGCGAGCTACTTGAGGGCAGAGACTGTATCGCCAGTGCTTAACCACAGATAGTTGCTGACTCGTTAGTTGTACTGGTGTCCTGGGTACATCTTCTCGGGGGAATACAGACTCCCTATAGTCGGGAGATGAGGTCTATGGAGCTCCAGTGCTCAGCCTCTGCCTCTCATGAAGTCCAGGACTATCCAATGCTTTCTCCTCAACAGCACCAGGAGGGAAGGGTGTGTGTGTGTGTGTGACAGTGTCCATTTTACAGATGGGGAGCCTGAGTCTGGAAGCTGGGATTCTAAGCCTACACACCCAACATCCTTCTACAAAGTAAGAAAGGGGATCAGGCTGTCTCTGGTGCCAGGGACATAGCCAGCCCAGTCTACAGAAGAGAAGGGGCCAAGGCTGGGCCACAAGGTTCCAGACCCCAAGAGAGAACAGCCACCGAAGAGAAGCTATTCTGTTTTACCAATGGGGAGCATGCCTTGTCCAGGGGGACACAGCTAGTGAGAAGCAGACTCTTTGACCAGGTCAGATTCTTGGCTCCACCTCCAACCCTAAGACCTACCTCATAGTAGCCATCAATGAAGACCGTGATCATGTGAGGGTTCACACCCTGAGCAGAGAGGAGAGATCGCAGCATCCTAGGGGAACCAGGCACATGGGAAGCAGATATCAAGACTCTACCCAACACATTTCTAGATCACCTGTGCTGGTAGATAGGCCTGACTGCTCCCCAGATTCACCTGTACAATAAGGTGGACATCTCACCCTGGACTCTCTTTTGCAGGTAGGTGGGCCCATCTCCCTACCTAAGGCTCTATACAGGTAAAGTGAGCCATCCCCTCACCCTGAGCTCACCTGCCCAGGTAGGTGGAATTCATTTCTCTTCCCTGGCCTTAAACTCTACAGGGAAGGTAGGCCCATCTCCTTTCCTTAGGCTCTTCTATACAGGTAAATGGGATTATCTCCCTACCTGAGACTCTATCCCTTACACTAAGCTCACCTATACAGGAAGGCAGGCCCATCTCCCTTCCTAGGCTCACCTGTACAAGCCTCACCTTCCTTCCCAAGGCTTAAACTGTACAAGTAAGGATGGCCATCTCATCACCCTGGGCTTACCTGTACAGGGTTGGGGGTGGTCCCATTTCCCTACCCAGGGCTCACCTGTACAGGTAGTTAGGCCGGTTCCCTGCAATGACTGCCACAGGCACATCAGCAACCTTGCTGTTGGGAAGCTGGGGGGTTGAGGGGAAAGGAAGAATAGAATTCAGCTCCCATTGAGGCCTCTCCTACCCAAGGGAAAAGGCCTCAGGGAGTCTTATATGAACTTCGGGTGTGACTTGGGTCCCAGGGTGAACTATTCTCATTTCAGAGATGAGGGAAACACCGTTATTTAGTTAACATTGTGCTGAAGACAGAGTGTGGTAGCTACAACTTAGTTTTGGGGCCAAGAAGACCTGATTTCAAACCCTGCCTCTGGCCCAGCTGTGTGACCCTGGGCAAGCCACTCTGCCTTTACAGGTCTCAGTCTCCATTTCTGTAAGATGGGTATAATCATAATACCCATAGTTCCTCTGTCACTGGGCTTCTAGTGAATTCCAAATTCCCTTTTCTTAGGCTCCCTCTCTGGAACCAATTCCCTGCTTCTCCTCCACCCATGGTCACCACAGTGGACACAGTAAGTATCACACTGAGATAGCTAGCAAACACTGAAGTGATGACAGGTGGCCAGGCTGGGTGTTCCACTTGGGAGCGCCCAGAAGTCTGGAGAAATCCAGGAGGGCCTGAAGTGAAGTGGACCCCTAGCAGGCTTATGGGAGGGCCTGGATTGGGCAGGCATAGATGGGATGAAATCTGTATTGTTGGAGGGGAGATCCACAGCGGGGAGGGCCCAGACCCACACTCAAATATCCTTAGTACCTGTGTCCTGGGTGTTGTTTTCCTCTGTTTGGCCTCGGTGGTCTTGGTTTGTTCCCCTGGCCCAACCCCCTATCCCAAGCCCAGTCCATCCCCTCCCCCTTCCTCCCTGAACAGCAAGATTTAGCTCAGACTCCACCTCCTAACACCCTCCCTCAGCCCCTGCTCCTGCCCCAAGGTTCAGGCCAGCCTCCAGATCTCACCCCTGAGCTCTGCTCACTCACCGGGTCAGGGTTGAACTCAATGGGGGTAGGGTCCCCACAGCTGCACACACTCCCATAACCCTCCACTTTGCTGCAGAAGCGTTTTCTACGACGGTTCAGCTCAGTGTCTGCCCAGTGACACTCTGCCTCTGGAGGGCAAGGAAGGGATTTGACCTGGGTCCTCTCCCCAACTTCCTCTTCCCATCCCTCAGGCCAGACAGCAGGAACTCTTTGGCCCTGAAGATCCTTAGGTCTCGTTCTGGCACCCCTGAGGCCCCGAGCCTCTCTCTACCCCCAGGTCCCCCCAGGGCTCAGCCTAGGTATCCAGTAAGTCTTGGGCTCAAGTGACGCTCCTAGCCCTTAGGCCCTCAACGGTCCTCTAGGCGAGGCCATCTACCAAGCCCCTGCTTCCAATACCCCAACTCAGCCCTAGTCCAACTGGCCCCCCATCAGGTCCCACCTTCAGCCGAGCTCAGTGGGACATCCGTCTTTAGCAAGATGGGCTCCCCCCACGAAGACAAAGTAGGTGACTTGGAGTGTTTCTCACCAAGGACAGCACCTGGTAAGGGTAAGGAGCATGGACAAGGGCTAAGAGGAGAAAGAGGCTCAGCTCTTGGGCCCAGGTATCCTAGGCTCTGCTTCCTGGCTGGTCCTCCTGGCCCCAGCCTCTTGCCCTGCAATCCCAATGCCTCTCTATAGCCTTAAGTGCCCACCCTCCAAGCCTACGCCCCCACCAGTCCTTTGGAGGCGGGGGAGGCAATATAGCAGGAGCTGCTGCCTTACCTCCCTTCCGGCCAACGAAGGCCCATGTGTCCCGCCAGCCTAGCACTGGCCCTGCTTGGCTGCCCAGGCTCCGAAGGAGGGCCTTGGCCGTATCCTTGAGGTGGAATGAGCCCTCATCCTAGAAATCAGATTGGGTCAGGCCTCAGAGTCAGTCCACTCCACACCCTGGCTCCTCCCCTGCTCCCAGCCCAGCAGAGTCAGGACCAAGGGCAGGGCAATCACACTGACCTTGACAGTACAGATGATCAACCGGCCGGGGGCCACCATGTTGAGGAAGAGAACCATGGCCTCATCTTCATGGGGGGAGTACGTGTCAAACACCCGCTTTGCCATCACATGGCCCTGAGGGATTGAGGGGTGAGAGAGCCAAGTGAGGCTCTAGCACCCATCTCCAGGGCCCCCCACTCCCAGTGGGACCCAGGTCTCACCGTGGCCTGGTTGAGAACAATGACATGGATGCCTCGTCCCTGCTCCCGAGCCTCATCTTCCAGGACCTGGGGGGTGGGGAACCAGTGAGACAAACCAGGCAGACAGGGGGCCAAGGTGAAGGACAGTCTGCCCCCCTCCTTTTACAAATGGGAAAACTGAGGCCAAAAGGGCTGAAGCAAGTTGCCCAAGATCGCACAGCCAGTGAGGAGCACAAGTGTCAGGATCTGAATCCTGCTGTCCTATCTCCAGTTCTGCGCCCTTTATTACTTCACCCCCTTGTCTGGCATCTATTCCTTGAGGACACTGAGCAGCTCTGCCTTCTTGTGCCTGGGGGTGGAGGGAGGAGTGAGAAAACTTCCACAAAGGTACTCTGCAGACTCTTATTAGAAGCATTGCTACTCCTGCTGTTGCTGATGCTGCTACTACTACTACCCTAATTATAACGGCTGGGTGACCCTGGGCAAAGTTCAGGCCCGCTCAGGCCTGTGGCTGAGGCAGGAATCCCAAGCCAGCACCATGTCCTGCTTCTTTTCACAATGCAGGGGAAGGGGATCAGGCTGGTGCTGGTGACGTGACAGGGAAGAAAGGGGACAGAGCTGAGTGCCGAGGTCCCAGTGAGAAGGGAAGCTGTTCTATTTTACCAATGAGGAACATGACTTGGCCAGGGTCACACAGCTACTAAGGAGCAGAGGCAGAATTTCAGTATCTGCTCGCACCTGGGCATGTAAATGTTAATGGCACATTATTGCCCTGTAAAGTAAGAAACAGCAAACACAATGGATGCAGAGAGGCATGAGAAGATTCATATGGACTGATGCAGAGTGGGTCTGAAGGACCAGGCAAACACCAGACCTCAGGAGTTTAATCATGTAAACACAACAATTGATACAAGATACTGCCCAATTAAGACAGAGCTCAGCCCCAAAGCTGGGCTGTGACGAGGCACCTGCCTCCCTCCTTCTCTCCCTTGCAGAGGTGGGGGACTACGGGTGAGGAGCACTACAGATAACATTAGACTTTTCCAAAGCATGTTTAGCTCTGCAAAGTGTGTGGTTCCCACCTTTTTCCCCTTGAGGGTTCTCAACCTCAGAGACAGCCACAGCCACGGCAAGGGAGAAGGCAATAAGCTGCTCAGTTTGGTGGATTCTACCTGTGAAGCACCCTTCCCACCCTTCCCCTCTCCTCCAATCTGACAGCCGCCTGCTCCCTTACATGGACTACTGCAACAATCTCCTAACTGGTCTGTCTGCTTCTACACTCTCCCCTTCGCACAGGTGCTACCTGCTTACAGCAGGTGCTTAATCAATGTTTATCAACCTAGCTGACCCAACCTCCTCCTAGCTGCCAAAACAATCTTCCTCCTGGAGATTCCCCTGACTACCTCACTGCCCTGCTCAAGAAGGTTCTGGGTCTCTCTCCTATCTGCAGAATGAACACTCCTGACTCTGAAATCCTTCCAGCTCCCAGCCACCTTCGCCAACATCTCCCGTCACTCCAGGTTACGGCCAAAGGGGCCTCTTGGCTGCTCCCTGGACCTGCCATTCCACTCCCATCCCTGGGGCTTGGCCAGGCTGCATTCTATTCCTGGAATATGGTTCTTTCTCCCTTCCATCTCTCAGAGTCTCAGGTGAATATACTTGTTCATCCTTCCCTTTTTTCAGAAGAGGAAACAGACTTCCAGAAAGGAAGGGCTTGGAGTTACACAGTCAGGTCAGAATGCAGGCCTCTTGACTCCCAGGCTCCCCCTGGCTGTCTTGTGCCCCTCCTAGCAGAGGGAGCTCCTCCAGGGCTGGGCCTAGGCCTTCTCCCTGTCTGCCCCCCCAACCCTCCAACAGTGCTGCAAGAATGGGTCCCCTCAGCCAGACTGGGGACTCCCCCCAGGACCCTGCCCCCCTGGGCTCCCCCAGCCTCAAGGTCTAACCCTAGGTCTGTCTATTTCAACTGGGCAGCCAGGGCATCTTTCTGGGGAAGGCTTTTTGAGGGTACACTGGTCCCAGCAGGAGCTGGAGGGGATGGGGAACAAGAAGACATACCCCACTCACCGTAGTGCCATCCACAGCCACGTATACTTTGCTCCGGCTGGAGTAGACCTCAACATCCAGCACCCTATGGGGGCCGGCAGCACCCCGCCTTGGAGGCTTCTGGTGCTGCAGGGTATCTTCTAGGGGATAAGATGAGAGGTCAGGATCACCTCCTCCTCTCTTGCCCCACACATGAGGTGCCTCCCCATCCCCCCAGACCATCCCCTCAAACCATAATCCTGTTCTGACTCCAGGTCCTCGCCCTCCTCGCTGACCCCTCGACGAGTGTCCAGGATCAGTTTGATATTGACAAGGACCGTCACCAGCAGAAACAGCACGGCCCCTGTCTGCAGGAGAAGGGGGGAGTTGGAGCAAAGGGACATGAAGAAGGGAAGGCCCCCGGAGCCCTGGGGCATTGGCAGCCTAAGCAAACACTAAGGCTAAGCTACCTTCTCCAAAGTCCAGTGCCAGGGTTCGGTCTGAATAGAGGAGTCCGGGACCCAGAGGCTTAAGTGCTACCACCAGCCCCTGCCCACAGCCCCTCTGGGAAGGTTTCCCTGATTCTGGCAGCCCACTGAGGGTCTCTGCCTGGGCAGACAGAGTCTCTGAGGTGTCCCCCCCAGCTGCTACAATATTGCTTTATTGAGAACCTAGGACCTCTCAGACAGACTGGGGCCTCCTCCTCTGTCCCCTACCCCCAGCCTGGGAGCCCTGTGAGGGCAAGGTCCTCATCTGCTCCTCCTCTGCCCCCACCCCAAGGCGGGGGCCTAGGGCTGTTCTTACTCCCAGCTACCCTGAAACCTGAGCATACTCAGAGATGGGCCCATACAGGATGGGAGCAGCTCGGCAAAGATGGGGAACAAAAGGGGCACTGCTTCACAGCCCAAACCTCTGGGGGGGGGGATGTGAGGACACACGAGATGAGGGAGACAACTTAGGGGGCAGGACTGGGTCCGGGGAAGGCTTCCCGGGAGAGGGGGGCTTGGAGGAGGAGACAAAAAGGGATCGGGGCACTGGCCAGGCTGCAGCCCCACCTGGCAGAGGCGCCGCACGAGGCGCTGGTTCGTCAGCCTGTACTTCCAGGCCAGGTACCAGCCCCGCTTCTTCCTGGCCCCGAAGGGTTTCCCCGAGGGGCCGGGCTTCCACTCGTCCATGCCCGGAGCGGCCCGGGGCCCGGGCTTCTCACTGGGGCCTCCCGGGGGCCCCCGTCATTGCACACCTGGCGATATAGGAGATGGGGAGCCGTGAGGGGCTCAGCCCGCCCCTCCCAGGCTGGACAGCCTGGTCTTAGACGGAAAGGCCCCCAGCAGGGAGGCCTCTTGCAATGGGTGCAGCGGGTGCAGGCCGGGGCCCTGCCCCCGGCAGCGGACCCTCCTGGAAGCCCCCTAGCTCTAGGTCCCCGTCCCCGCCCCCGGCAGCGGACCCCTCCTGGAAGCCCCCCAGCTCCAGGTCCCCGCCCCCGCGATCGCCTCCCCCGCCTCGAGCACTCACGGCCGTCAGGGGGCGCCGCGGCGCCCGCCCAGCACAGCCCGGGCAGGCTCAGGGCCGGCAGCAGCGGCAGCGGCGGCGGCAGAAGCAGCAGCGGGTGAGCCCGGAGCGAGCCGCCTCCTCCATGCTGCCTCCCGACCCCTCCCCGCCGCGTCCCGTCCCCTTCCCAGTCCCCGTCCCGTAGCTTCCGGTCTCCGCTGGGTCAGAGGCCGGAGGAGGGCGGGGCTTAAAGGGCCGCGGAGCGGGAGGGGCGGAAGGAGAAAGGGAGGGGGAGGGGAGGGGGAGGAGCCGTCAGGAGTCCGGCCCCTGCGAGCCTGCCCTGGGAGGCGGGGACCTGGAGCACCGAGCCTTACAGACAAGGAAACTGAGGGTCAAGGAGGCGGGTGCGGGGAGAGAGAAGTTCCGAGGCTAGCTCCCCGGGCGGGCGTCATCATCTCGAAGCGTCGGGGGCCTCTTACCCCGGCCCTCTGAACTGGGCTTTTTAAAGCTTGGGAGGACTGTGCATCGCCAGCATTGGTTTCCATGGTAACTGTGTCTCTTATTGTCCGCATTTAAACGCCTGATTCAGAGCCAGGGTCCCCACTCTTCCCCAGGCGCCACCCTAAAGGGTTAGAACCGTCCAGGCCCCCCCCTTCCCCCCGCCTTTTACACATCCAGAGACTGGGATTCCTGGGAAAGCCGGGAACTTCCTGGCGCGGGAATGTGACTCTCTGAAGGTCACACGCATAGACAGTGCCTTACCTCCTTCCATTTGAGAGGGGAGAATACTGGAGGCCCATGGACAGAGAACAACTTGACCAAAGGCCCACAAAAGAGCACGGGGTGGATAAGCTGGTCTTCAAAACGAGGTTGGGGGCAGGGAAAGTGGAGTGCTAGCCTTGGAGTCAGGGAAGTCCTGGGTTTGAATCCTACCCAGGGTTACTTCCATACTGGTGGGACAAGTCTCTGAGCCTCACTTCCATCATCTACAGAATGGAGGTAATGCCAAGAGTACTTCACTACCTCACTGGGGAGTAATGTGACTTAAGGGAGATGCCAGTGTAGATACCATGTCCTCCAAACTTGGGAAATGTCACTTATTAGGGTGCTGAGGTAGAAAGGTACAAAATCAGAATCCCACTTACTGCTCACCCCCATGGACTTCAGATGCAGCAGATTACACTTTCCCACGTGGGAATTTGTTTTGTTTCTCCATGTTTATCACCAGAGGATTCTCTCTCTCTCTCTCTCTCTCTCTCTCTCTCTCTCTCTCTCTCTCTCTCTCTCTCTCTCTCTCTCTCTCTCTCTCTCATTGGAAAGGAGGGGCTTGAGCAAAAGTGATGTCAATAAAAAAAAAAAAGAAAGAATAGGGGGGCATTGGAGCAGGTTAAAACACAGAAGAGCCCAGGAGGAGATCCAGAGGGCATCCCAGACAAGGAGCACAGCATCAGTAGGATCCTATGATAGGAATTTCTTATGTACTTAAAAAAAGCCACCAATTTGTTATTGGGATTCATTGTTTCATATACAATCTTCTTTTTTGTCTACAGAATGTTCATTTTAATTGGTATTTGTCAAGCACAGAATACCAAATATATATGTGTGTGTGTGTGTATTTAAATCCATGGTTACACAATTTTAATAAGCAGACATCATTTTACAAAATTCTTTTTTTTTAAGCAATTGGGGTTAAATGACTTGCCCAGGGTCACACAGCTAGTAAGTGTCAAGTGTTTGGTCTGAGGCCAGATTTGAGCTCAGGTCCTCCTGACTTCAGGGCCGGCGCTCTATCCACTTTGCCACCTAGCTGCCCCTACAAAATTCTTAAACTTTATTTTTTAAGAATTGGTTTAGCTTTGCCTGAGTGTTACTTTTTACACAGGCAGTTTGGGGGTGACTTCAGTGGGCCCCAAGCATCCGTGGGTTCTGGAGCTTTTGGGGAGGACCCTAGAGCAAGAGGATTTATTGGATTTTCCTTACTTTTTAAAAATTATCTTTGGGTTTGGAAAGGCTTTTGCAAGCACTAAGTCATCTGTGAGAGTTTTGTTAAATGATGTCTGCTCTTAGATTGGAGAGGGGCAAGAACATTGGCAGAGAAAACAAATGGGGAGCTCAAGCAACTGAGGCAGCACAAAGTAGTGGATAGAGTTCATAGACCTGCAGTCAGAAATGCCTGGGTTCAAATCTCATCTCATACACCAGCTGTGTGACCTTAGATGAGTCACTTTCCTTATCTGTAAAATAGGGATACTAATAATATGAACACCGAGTCAGAGGGTAATTGTGAGGACCCACTGAGATAATAAAATATGTTAGTGCTTTGTAAAGGTTACTGTTATTTGTCCAGGCAAGAGGTGATGAGGAACTGAACGATCCAGGGTTCACCGGATCCCAAGTGTCTGGAGTCCCGAGTCTGGCTCCAGCGTCTGGAGAGATGTGGTAGATGTGCTGTGACCCCTTCTCTCACTGTGTTCTCACACCAGCCTCAAGGGGGCTTATTCTTATTTAAAAGACAGCCCAGAGAGATAAAGTGACTTAGCCCAGGTCACACACACAGCAGTCAATGGCAGATACAACACTAGATTCCAGATTTCCTGACTTTCAGCCCAGTACCCTCCCTACCACCCCTCCTTACCACTCCCAGCTAGGCTGTGGATATACAAGTGTCAGGTGGTGGTACTTTTCTCATTATTTTTAGCTCTCCATGGCCTTGGGAGGAAGGGCTTGGGTCCTAGCCCAGTTAGTACCCTCAGGTCTAGCATAGGATATAGGAATGGGGGGGTATGTGTTAATATTGTACATGAGGAGGAGGAGGGAGGAAGAGGTTGCCACACTCACCACTCCCTCCTTCCACCCCCTCTAAGTTGTTGCTTAGCTACTCCCTTTCCTACGGCCAATTAATTTTTAGGGAGAGAAAACAGGGACTGGAAGGGGTGGGAAATGGGTTGGGGTCAGGGAGATTAGTGCTCTGGATTCTTTATATTCAGAGGCTCCTTGGAATCAAGTTCAGAGTCTCCCAAGGGCTGTAGCCTGGCTCATGGGAGGAGAGGGGTGTGTGTGTGTAGGGGGGTAGTTTCCAGGCTAAGAGGCAAACTGGGGAATCTTGCATTTTTCTTATCTTAGGCTCAGATTCTCAAAACATTAGAATCTGTTTCTTAGAAGTTGAGGATATTCAGCACTTCAGAGCGGAGGACTCAGCCCATGAGGATGCTAAAACCTCAGGCTTGGAATCAGAGGCTTATGGAATCTTCCACTTAGATTTTTGGACCCTTGGGGCATAGAACAGAGAATGTGGGAGCTGGAAGGGATTTTAGAACACGGAACAGAGAACCTTAGAGCTGAGAGAAACATAAAAAGGTAGAACTGAGAATATAAGACAGATCTAGGATGGCCCTTAGAAAACAATGTCAGAACTGGTAATAGGGAGAGAAGGGAACTTAGAGAATAGCAGAGAGTGTGGGGCTTGGAACAGAGAACCGAGGTCAGAGCTGGAAGGGAGCTTAGAACAGGGAATGTCAGAGCTGGGAGGGGCCTTAGAACAGTGAAAGTTAGAGCTAGAACAAAACTTAATGGTTCTCTAGTGCACGCCCTGCTTGTTACCCATAGCAGACCTTTATACCGACATGGATATGTCTTGCCTTTTCTATTTTCCCCTCCAATTATTTATCTCCCTGGAGCCTCACCTTGACAACCCAGTGAGCTGGACGTACCCCAATAATTATTGTTAGCTTCATTGAGGCAGCTAGATGATGAAAGTGATTAGAGCCCTGGCTGGGCCTGGAGTAAGGAAGAACTGAGTTCAAATTTGGCCTCAGACTTAGCTGTGTGACCCTAAACTGCTGTTTGCCTCAGTTTCCCCAACTGTAAAATGTCTAAGACAATGACAAGGGACTTGCCCACCTCCTATCCCAGGCAGAATTTCTGCCTAGGTCTCCCGACTCCAAGATCAGCATATATATACTTCCGACCATCTTTTACAGATGAGGAAGCTGAGATCTGGAGAAGAGACTATGGCATGTCTCCCAGCCAGGAAGCCTCAGTGGCTTGGAGACTAGAACCCGGGTCTGCTATCTACGTAGCGCGGGAAAACGGCATTCAGCCTCACAAGTAACTGCGCCGGGGGCTGAGCTCTGCTCTGATATTTACGGCGCTGTCGAGTCCGCCCCCCACCCCCGCACCTAGCCCAGGCTTGCAGTTCCATTCTGCGGAGTTCGGCGGCTCGGGGAGGGAAGGTGAGAGGGATTCTGGAGTCTAAGTCGTCCCTCGCAGCTAGCTCAGGCCCCGCCCCTCAGCTCCGGACTTCCACTGGGCTCCGGGATCTGAAGCTCCACTCCGCTTGGGGGAAGAGCCAGGAGGGTGGGAACCAGGCGTCCGGGCGGCCCCGCCCCGTAGGGGCAGGGGGTTGGGGGAAGCGAAGCGTCCTGGGCCCCTCCTGCCCCCGCATGGAGGGGACCCCGGAGTGCTCGGCGCCCGACTTGCGGGACGTGGAGGGCAAGGTGGGCCGGAAGACTCCCGAGGGGTTGCTCCGCAGTTTGCGGGGCGAGGGAGAGCCAGTTTCCGCGCTGCTGCAGCCTTCTCGAGGGATGCCAGAAGCCGGCCACGGCCTCGGTCTGGGCGACAAGGTCACGGCGCTGAGGTTAGAGCTGGTGAGTCTCTCCCTCTGTCTCCCCACTCCTCCCCGCCGGATTTTAGACCTGGTCTCCGTCCCCGGGCGGTCACTCCCCACCGAAGGGTTAAATAAAGCTTCTGCTTGATACTGGACCCCTCCACCCCAACCCTCACCGCCCACAGGGTTAAAACCTGGCGAGGCGTGAGTTGAAGCCGGCTGTGGGGCTGTGGGAAACTGTGAGCCTCCAGCCCCAGGGCCGGGGAAAACACTTTCTAGGGCTTTTTCCATCGCTCGTTTGGTTTGGTTGTGTTTTTCCCGTCCAGTTCTATAATAAAAGGTCAGGTTTGTTTTCTTTTTCCGTGAGGGATGTTGGGGCCTGCCTCACTCCTCAAACACTCGCTCCTATCCAGCACAGAGATCCAGCATCAGCGCTGCCTTAGCCCGAGCTGTAAAAGCCAACTGTCAGCAAGCTGTAGGACCCTGGACAAGACCCTTCCCTCAGTGGGCCCCGGTCTGTTCTCTGCAAAGAAGGGTCCTCAGAAGCCATCCATTCTATCTCTTATCCGACGACCCCATACCTTTCACCAAAGACAGGGCTGCAGGGAAGCCACTGCGTCGGGACGAATCGCCCTCCCCTTTCCCAGACCCTGCCTTTGCGCTAGGGTGAGGAGGGGGCGCATCGAACGCAGCCAGGCTCCGAGGAGCCATCTGCTTCCCCCACCCCGCACCGTGGGTGTGTGTTTGTGTTGGGCAGAAGGTGCCCAAGCTGCCATATCCCCACTCACGTCTTTTCAGGACTCCAGCTCTGCTAAAGGCCAGTGGTCCCTGAGTTAGCTGGAGAACCCCTCTCCCCAGGATCTTAGGGCTCAGCGTGAGAAACAGAGGCAAGTGGAACACGGTGGAGAGGACCCTGAATTGGACCTCAGTGGAGGCTACTGGGCTGCTTTGTGACCTTGGGCAAATCCTTCAATTCTACCAGTCTCAGTTTTCCACTCTGTAACTTGGGAGGGAGGTGGGGAGAATGGTGGTAAGGCAAAAGGAAACCTTATTTTGATGATTGCTTATACTGCCTCCTGGTGGTCTCGGGATGACCCTGGAGTCTCTTCTGAGGGAGCTCATCTGAACTGACCTGGCATGTGGGGAAAAGGGAGAGCTCTCAGGCTGGCCATGAGGCACCCAGCGCCATGGTGCCTCCAATCAATAGACTGTGGGTCTGCTGTCTGCACAGAAGACTGGCCTCTAGCATCACAGGGCTTTCCACTAGAGAAGTGAATTGTTTTCAGCTAAAACTCAAAAAGCTGCTGTGATGGAATGGTGGGGCTCCAATCTATGATGATATCATGGGGTTAATAATAGTTATCGCCCCCATTTCTATAGAAAAGTTTACAAAGCACTTCTCTACTCCACCCCTCTGGTAGCCAGTTGTTATTCTACTTTACAGATGGGGAAACTGAGGCCCAGTGGTAAAAGGAACTTGTCTGAGGTTACACATGCCTAGAAAGGCATGTCCCAGGCTCTTTCCCCTGCAATGTTAACACTTTCTAACTTTTCCCTCTATCAGCTGAAATGGAGGTTCAGAGCAGAAGAGGTAGTATTGGGGGAAGGGGTGTTTTTACAACCTTTGAATTTTCATCCCCCATAAGGAAGCCTGCTTAATTGAGGTGGAGAATGCAAGGGGGGACTGTGCTCCTCTAGTTTCTCCTAAAACCCCCAATCTGGCTTTCCAGGGACCCAGCTGGCATTGAGATCTGGGCATCCTGGTGTCCAGCCTCATCTAATCATCTTCTCCTTTCCCCTGGGGTGGGAGAATGGCTAGGGCCTACAATTTTCCATTAATCTGTGACTCCATAAGCTGTGGAGTGGATGGTAGAAGACCCACATTCCAATATCCACTCTGTCCCTTACTGGCTGTATGGGCAACTCCCTTCTTTCCAGGTCTCAGTTTCCTTTTCTGTCTAAGGAGCCTGGATGGTCTGACATTCTATCATGTCCCTTCCAGCTTGGAGACTCTGTGACTTTGGGGCACTGGCCCTTTAAGTCTCCGTATTATCTGCCCCAAAATTTGTATGTGGGAAGGGAGGATGGCTGTGCCCTTCATGAGTCCATCTGCTGCCCCAGCTGTCCCACTCAAGATGGGCTGGCACAGGATCCTCCTTATGCCCAAGCCCCAGCCTTTTCCTCCCTTCCTGATCACCTCCAGACCTAGAGTCTGAATGTTGTGGCATAAGTGGCCCCTTGGTGGGCTGGGGAGGGTGGCAGGTTTGGGGGGCATTTCTCTCCCTTCCCACTCCAGGAGACCTCCCACTCCTGCTGCTGTTGCCATGGTAACCAGAGCTCCTGGGTACATTCTAGCCCAGGCTGTCGGTGAGGTGTCCTAGCTCTGCCCCTTCCAAGCTAAGTGACCTTGAGCAAGCCGTTTTCCTCCTCAGGGTGTCAGTTTCCTCTTCTGTAAAATGACGGGATCAAACTAGGTGATTCCCAAGGTTCCCTTGAGCTCAGACATTCTATGCTTCCACATTCCCTGAGAATCCCCAAATGCCTCCAGTAAGGGTTGGGGGGGCTGGGAGCCAGGAAGTGTGGAGTCCCTGCTTTTTCCCTGGGGCCTAGACAGTGACGTCACTCTCCACCCTCCATCCCCCCAGTCATACATATTCATACCTATTCTCTGGCTCTGGTTGTCTCTTCCTTGAGGCTGAGAGGCTGTTGCCGGGTTCTTAGAATTCTGTAGAGGGGAAAAAAAAGAATTCTGTAGGGGCTGTGTTCTCTCTCAGAGAGCTGGTGGTACAATGGATAGAACACCAGGTATGGAGTCAGGAAGACTCATCTTTGTGAGTTCAAATCTGACCTCAGACACTTCCTAGCTGTGTGACCCTAGGCAAGTCACTAAAATAACCCTGTTGGCCTCAGTTTCCTCATCTGTAAAATGAGCTAGAGAAATGGCTAAACTACTCCAGTGTCTTTGCCAAGAAAGCCCCAAAGCAAGCAAAAAAAAAAAAAAGCCCCAAATAGGGTCACACGTGACTGAATAACAACAAAATGTTCCCTCTCACCTTCACACTACCTGGCCTCTCTGGGTGGCTCCCCATTGGGGGCAGAACCTATGTTTGTTGTAGGGTCCCCTAGGGGGACTCATGACCAGAGCCCCCATACCCTCTCCCCAAGGCTTGTAGTCCATTCTGACACTGAACCAGAAGCCCTTCTCTTCTGCCCTGTTGATGCTTGGAAAGCTCACTACCTTCCTAGGCAGCCCATTCCCCTTTGGGATTGTGAGGAAGCTACTTCTGGCTGCCTGAAAGCTGGTTCTCAGTACTGTCCTCATTGCTCCAGGCTTGACCACGTGCAGATGGCCCTGGCTGTCCTACTGAGCCTCGCATTCCCACCCAGCAGCACAGGGAGGGCCACTGGAGAAATGTTGGTTCAATTGAATTCATCCTCAGACCGGAGGCCTCTCCTTCAGCCCCCACAACAGCCCTGCCAGCCCCAGAGTCATGTCCAGGGCCCTTAGGGCACCACAATGGTGACTTCCTCTGCCTGTGAGGGGAGCACAGCTTGCCCCAACCCCCTCAGGCACTCCCCCTACCTACTTCTGACATTCAGCAAGTCCCAATTTCAGGTATCCACTCTGGTCTTGGGGGCTCTAGAGAAATGGACACACCACACTGCCTCCTCCCATCCAGCCTGCCTTAGGCATCACCGGTTCTGTGGGGGATGACAGACTCTTCTGGGACCTCCTTGAAGCTTCTAACCCACAGTCCTTCACTCTCTGCTCACCCTTCAAGATGCCCGGTCCCTGGCAGTGCTTTCCACAGGTGTCTGATCTTCCCACTGCCCTGCCCGTGCTGGAGGCTGAGAACCCGTTCTCTGCTGACCTTTTCTCTTCACAGGGCTAGCCCAGAGGTGGGGAACCTGTGACCCTCTAGGTCCTCAAGTGAGCCCCTTTAACTGAATCCAAACTGCACAGAACAAATTGTTTTAATAAAAAGATTTGTTCTGTAAAACTTGGACTCAGTCAAAAGGCCACACCCAAGGACCTAGAAGGCCACATGTGGCCTTGTGGCCACAGGTTCCCCACCCCTAGTCTAGCCAATCTTCTTGTCTTATCCCCTCCCCATTCTTGGTGGCCCTCTGCTGACCTCTGGGTTATGCCCCCAACTTTCTCACTGACTTGACAGCCTGGCTCTTGGTCAGTCTTCTTCTTTAACCCTATCCTTGCTACATTCTTACCCCCCCCTTTTTATTTGCTAGGCAATGGGGTTAAGTGACTTGCCCAAGATCACACAGCTAGTTAGTCTCAAGAGTCTGAGGCTAGATTTAAACTTAGGTCCTTCTGACTCCAGGGCTGGTCTCTATCCATGGTGCCACCTAACTGCCCCTCCTCGCTACATTCTTCAGGGACATCATATTTAAGCTGATGAACCCTCTGAGACTCTCATTCCTCAACTTCAGCTACCTCCTCCAGTCCTCTGCAGTCATCAGCGTTCATCATCTCACCTCAGCCCTTGACCCGTCATCAGGGATGTACTGAGGCCAGACCTGGAGAGCTGAGATCCCACTCTGAAAACTGCAGCCTCCTGGCCTTTGCCCCTCACACATCCCAATCCTCTTAGTGATGTTATTGTGACTTCTGATGCCCAGGTCCATCTCTGTCTTCCTCCCTCTGCCTTTCCCTGGCCCCACATCCAACCTTAACCTAATGGACAGACAAAATAAAGCTTCCCTAGACTCCCTGGACCCATTGACCAGCACAGTGACCTGACCCAGCAGCAGGTGTGATGTTGGACATCTGGCAGGCCTGCCAAGAGTGGAATAAGACATTTCATTATCCACCCCCTAGAACCAGCATTAGCCTTTTGTGTGATATTGTTGGGAGAGCTGTCTTCAAATATATAAGGGACTGTCCTATGAAACAAGGATTAGCTTGGCCCTGCTTGGCCCCAGGCATCATCAGAGAAGTTCCAAATAGGCTAATTGAGGCTGGATGGCAGGAAGAACCTCCCAACCCTGAGAACTGTCCCAGAGTGGCTGCCTTTGGAAGTGGCTTTTAGTGGTGAGCTCCCCTTCCATGGGGGTCTCCAAGCAGAGGCTGGCTGACCACTTGTAGGGGATGATGTCTAGTTTGGAACTGATGCCACAGAAGTGCCTTCCATCTCTGAGTTGCTGTGATTCTGTGATTTAGACTCGTGGAATGTTAGGCCACAAAGGGAACTTACAGACCATCCAGTCTAGTCCACTCATTTTGCAGACTAGGAAACTGAGTCACGGAGTGTGTGTATGTGTGGGAGAGAATGACTTGCCCAAAGGTCACACAGCTAGCATATAGCTCAGACCTCCAGACTTGTGATTCTGACTCCTGCCCTGCCCCGTGGGGTGGCCTTCATGACTTAGGGGCTGGCCTTGTCCACCTGGCCTGGCCTCAGCCTCTCTCCCTCCCTCTCCAGGCTTACCTTCGAGCCATTGATGTGAAGATCTTGCAGCAGCTTGTCACAGTGAATGAGGGCATTGAGGCAGTCCGCTGGCTGCTGGAAGAGCGAGGGGCCCTGGCTAGCCGCTGCAGCAGCCTCACCAGCAGCCAGTACAGCTTGACGGGGGGTAGCCCAGGAGCCTGCTCCCACCGGGACAGCTGGGAGAGCCTGCCTGACCCCACTCCCACCACCACCACAGCTGCAGCTGTCGACCAGCTGGACAGCGTCTCCATTGGCAGCTACCTGGACACACTGGCCTCAGGGGCTGAGCCCGAGGACGAAGGGCTCTCCGAGGCTGGCCCCCGACATCCTCCGACTGGCATGACTTGGGCAAAGGCTCCTCCCTCAGAGGAGAGGTTGTGGATAGAGGCTGACACGGCATCGGGGGCCAGGTCTGGGCAGAAGCCTCCTGGAGAGGAGGTCCCTGAGGATGTCAGATCTGGCCTCAGCTATGGGGCCCACTGGTACTGGGGACGGTGTCAGGATGATGTGACATTCTTGTAGCAGCAGCCCCAGGCCTCTCATCTCCTCCAATCTGTCCCCTTCCTTTCATTCTCTGAAATGAGGAGACAGTTTGGTTTCAAAGGTCACTTCTGACTTTAAATTTAAGATCTGAAGGTCTGGAGGAAGAGATTGGAAACTAGGCCCCAAGATGTTCCTCAGGCCAGCCTTCCTCTCCCCCAGCTCTTCCCTCACACGAGGTACTGTTTCCTATGTCCTGTCCTCATGCTTCAGGAAATCAGCCAGATGTCAACGTTGGCCTAATGAGGGGAGGCTGGTGGATTGGGTGCCAGAGATGGGTTAATGTTGCCCACCCCTTCCAAGCTAGACTCCCCCAGTTGTTAGGTGGGGGGTGGGAGGAGCCAGTGTGGAAGCTCCTCCCCATTCTCTACAAAGTCACCTAGAGTGCTGGGTGGTAACTCACCACTTCCCTGCATCAGGGATAGCATAGCTGTCTATGGAGGAGGTGGGAGGCCACCTCCCGAACCCACCACCTGAGGGCTATATCTTCCCATTGACTGCAGGATTGGAATACCTGACTGGGTTAACATCACTTCCTGGTGGCCAAGCTTCTCCTTGTCCCTTCCTGGGAGTGACAGGCCCCCTAATTCCCATGGGCTCCCTCTTCTTAGGAGTAATGCCCTGAGACTTTCTGTCAGTGGGAGCCTCATTTCCTCCTGGTCTCAACCTCACCAGCAGTTGGGGAGGAACCTCGTGCTGGTATTCTTCTCTTCCTGCCCACAGTAGGGAGGAGGTGCAGGATTCTGTCTCAGTGGCTAAGCCTGGCCTAACCTGACTCTCCTCTTCTCCTGCCCCCCTCCATTTATATGCCAATTCATTAACCTTGGTCTCTCTGTCCAGTCTCAGTGCCATGGGGCTTGAGCCTCAGGGTGGGGGGAGGGAGGGTTAGGTTATCTGAGGAGAGGGAGAGGGAGAAAGTCTCCCAATACTCAGTTTCAATAAAGTCCATTGTTGCCTGAGCCTGTTCTGCCCACATGGCACCAGCTGCCCACTGCCCAGTCTGTCTGTCTTCTGTACGCCTCCAACTCTGTCTCCCTCTGTCTCAGCTGCCCAGTTGAAGATTCTTTGTCTACTTTCTCAAAACTGAGGCTGATGGGGTGTCTTGATCTCTGTGATTCTGGTCCATTTGACACATCTCTCTGTTTTTTATTCTCTGATCTGTGTGTCTCTGTCTCTGATTTGTGCGTCCATCTGTCTCTGTCTTTCTAATGGATGAGGGACTCTGAGTCCCCTCCTCAGGATGGTAAGGTGTCTGGGAGAGCACCACAGACTGGAGAAAGAACCTCTGTCTATAAATTTCCCATAGGGACCTGGCAGAAAGTAGACTAAGGCATGGGGGAAGGAGCTGAAGTCACAATGCCCAAGGGGGGATGGGAAGCCAGTACTGTAGGGCCTAGCTCCTTGTCTGATAGCAGATTGGGCTAGTTCTGAGTGGAGCTCAGCTTGGTGCCTACGAGTGAGGTTGGCACTGTGGAAGGGAGGGAGTGGCCCAGACAAATCAATTTGTCTGCACGATAGGCGGGGAAGAGAACAAAGCAGACTCCTCTGGCCAAGGGGCCCGAGCTCAGCTCCCATAAAACCTGACTCTAATGCCATCAGTCCCACAGGGCCCAGACAAGAGCCTCAGCTCTGCCAGCCACCAGAGGCAGCTGGTGGCCCAGTGGATACAGTGCTGGTCCTGGAATCAGGAAGACCTGAGTTCAGATCCAGCCTCAGATACTGACTAGCTATGTGACCCTGGGGCAAGTCATTTCACTTCTGTCTCAGTGTTTCAGTTTCGGGTAAAATGGGGATAATTGCAACTACCACCCAGGATTGCTGTGAGAATCCAATGAGATAAGAGCTGTAAAAAGCACTTAGCGCAGTGCCTGGCACGTAACAGGTGTTATATAAATTCCCTTTCCTTTCCTTTGCCTATCCAGCTAATGGTTGTCAGGGGAGTTTCCCTTCTTCATTTTTAACTCCACCCCCTCCCGCCATGGCACAGTTTGGCCACCAGGGGGCAGGCACTATTTGCTGTCCTTTCTGAGCAATAGGTTGGGGTCAGAGGCTGGGAGACCGCCTGTGATATCAGGGGGGATCCCCAGTCCTGACTCCACCATCTCCCACCTCCCCTCTCCCATTGCTTGCCTTCCCCACCCTCAAACTGCTCTTCAGTTAAGTCCAGCCTCAAGAGTGGCATGAGGTCAGCTAGGATGGTGAAGGCACTGGGAGAGGAGGGGACTAGGGACATTCAGCCATCCTGGAGAAGAGAAGACCTGGGGTGAAGGGAGGGAGGGTGGCTAGACGGTGGTCTTCAAGCATCTGAAGGACTGTCCCGTGGAAGGAGGATCAGCCTTGCTCCACTCGGCCCCAGAGAGCAGAACCAGGACCAGAGCCTGGGTGGGGGAAGTCATGGGGAGACAAGTAAGAAAAAATTGACCAGTTAGTTCTGGCCATCAGTGGAGTGGAATGGGCTTCCTCAAGAAGTAGTGAACTTCCAGGGCCTGAGTTCAAATCAGGCCTCAGACACTTGTTAGCTGTGTGACCCTGGGCAAGTCACTTAACCCTGATTGCCTTTGTAAAAAGGTAGTTAGCTCCCCTTTAGGGCAGAGGCTTTTCACCTTTTTCATGTTGTACCTGCACCCCCTTGGACAGTCTGGTGAAGCCTCTTGACCCCTTCTCAGAAGAATATTTTTTAAATGCAAAAAGTGAAATATACAGGATTACCAAGGAAGCCAATTATAGTGAAATGCAGTTATCCACCATATTGGAAGTTGCAAGTTCCTGGAGGCGAGGCTCTGAGCTCCCGCTCTATTTAGGTCTCCAAGCAGGAGCAGAAGAGGAATCCTATTTAGGTCCAGGATAGGCTCAGTGCCTTCTGAGGTCTATGAGTTGGTAGGTCATTGTTCCCAGGTCTCCAGGGAATACCACCCTGTGGCCTTGAAAAGGCTGGTTGGACAAGAGCATGGTTATAATGCTCTTTAAGAAAAAGCCCTGTATGAGGGCTCCCCTGAAGGGGAGGATTGGGATGTTCATCCCCCCCATCCCCTGCAGCTTGTGATGGGGACTCAAGGCCCTTCTCTGGCCTGGCTGCCCTCCTATGGACACTTCAGATTGTCAGTGTCCTCCCTAAACTCTGGTGCCCAGGAGTACACCCAGCACTCCAGCTTGGTCTGAGCATACAGGGCAGAACACAGGAGAGCTTGAATTGGGGGGAACCTCTTGTTTGAGAGTGAAAGGAGGGGTTCTGTCTAAATCAGACCTCTGCCTACTCTCATAGAAGAGACAATTCCTGCTCTGATCACACACACACATCCTCTCTCACTTCTGGCATTTTCCATACATTTCTCCTCCTGTCCAATGTCCCCAGTGTCCCTGAGCCTGGTAGCGGTGCCTAAGAGCCCTGTTGGGTGTAGCCAGAATGGGATGGGAGGAGCAGGGGAAAGGGGGAGCCTTGAGTCTAGGAGCCAGCAGAGAGAGGGCCTGGGATCTGTGGGATTTCAAGGTACTCCTGGAAGCCTAGGAGTGGAGTCTGACTCCTTGGGTCAAAGCTCTGGGCACTGTCCCCTCCCCCACCCCAGGACAGCTATGGTTGGTTACTCTCATATGGGCCTCCTGACTCTTGGTCCCCCTATGGTCTCCAGGGAAGGGGGCCAGTCTCCGGGGTCTGGGAATCTGTGGGCTCCCTGAAGATAAAGTCCCCAGCACAAGGCTGGTTAGGATGAGGGTTCTCTGGAGGCAATGATGGAGAGGATCCAGTGTGGGTGAGGAAAAAAGGGAAAGAGGGAAGGAGGAAAAGAAGTGAGATCTTAGGAGCCTAGATCAAGAATTACAAGGAACCTGAGTCCAGCTCATCCCATCCCTTCATTTTATGAGTAAACTAAGGCCCAGTAATTTGAAGTGACTTGCTCAAGGTCAGCCAGGCAGTAGGTGAAAGAGGTAGGAATAAAGGGTGTGATGGGTGAGGGCCTCTTTTAACCTGAGTCAGCAGGAAGCTGAGAGGGTATGCTGAGGGTAACAGGGACTGGCCAAGGAGCCCAGTCCTTTTGAGTACGTGCAGAGTGCTCAGCTGTCCCCCGTTAGGAAGAAGGGCCCAGTTGGGTTGGGCAGCACCATGTCCAGCCTGTATCTGAATAGTAGCCTCTGCTTAAAGGCCTCCATTGAGGGGGGCCCACCACCTGTCAGCATTGTCTTCTATCATGGTAAAACAACTGCACTATCCCTCTCATTGCTCCTGGTTGTGCCCTCTAAGACCAAACAGAAAAGCCTAATCCTTTATCCCCACGGTAGTCCTTCAGATCTGGCTGGCATTCCTCACCATTGTCCCTCTTCTTCAGCTCAACTTGCAGCATCAAACTCATCAAAAATAGAAACAGAGGCCACCGAACCATACATAAGGAAATTAACATTATGTTCTTCTGTATTTTTAATTATGTTGTTAAATATTACCCAATTACCTTTTAATCTAGTTCTGGTCCAATTGGGAATGTTGTTCAATCATTCCCTAATGATGCAACTCATTTTTTTTCTTTTTTCAGTCATACATTTCTGTGATGAGGTCCTTTTCACCATCTCTCTAGCATAATTCTGTATTGGATATGTATTTCAGCCCATTCACATGCCCTATATGCCTCTCTGTTGCCCTTTCAGTGATTCTCAATTTCAGTACGTTGGAGACTGTGGTATTCCGTGAATGAATGAATGAATGAATGAATGAATGAATGAATGAATGAAGCATTTGTTAAGTGCTTACTACAGGACAAAGTATTGTGCTGATAGCTGAGGATATAAGTAGAAAAGTAAGCCAGGCTCTCAGGACACAGGTAGGTAAGGAAACTCTTATTCTATTGGCAACAACACATAGGGAAGGTTTCAGCTGCAAATGAGATAGAAAGGCCTCATGGTCCATAGGGTAGAGTGGCCAAGCAGATGGTCATACTGCTTTTTAATGTACTGATTCCTCTGGTAAAATCATATCAGTTTCTATAGTAGAACCATTTGATAGGGCCAAGGACTGAAGAAAGGAACTTTCTCATCTGGGTCTGCAAGGCAATGTCCACCCAGGCTGCATCTTCACAGGGGTTGCTTCCCAGGAAAGTAGCTGAGGGCCCTGGGCTGGAAACAGTGATCCTTCCAAGGCTCTTGGCTTCTGGGTCCTGAGCTGTCTCCCTCAGGGTCTGAGAGAGATGCTGATCACAATGGTAGTGGGGTTTGACCTGCCTCTCTCTCCCTCAGGGTGCTTTGCCACTTCTTCCTTTCTCTCTTGACATGGCACAGATATCCAGGACCCATAGCCATCAGAGACATATAGGCACGATGCCTCTCAATCCAGGCTCTGAGATCACAGTGTTTTTGGCTGTCATTAATTTTTGATCTTATAATCCATGAAAATCACCAGTTTTTTTTTAATAATTTTTTTTTCAAATCTAGCTATGATTCCCTCATCCTCTATTTGTGAACTGGTTTTATGAGCTTTGAATATAAGACTTTACATTTGTAACACCCATGGGGTGGGTCTCCCAGAGAAGATGATCCCCCGGATCAAAGTACCCTTGTATCTATATTTGCTTAAAACCATAGTCTCTGAGCTCCCACTTGATGCACTTACTCCTCATTTCTCACCTGGCTGCACTAGCTGGGGCCATCTAGGACTTCTCCACCATGCCCTATTATTGGGGTAATCTCATCATCTTGCCAAGATCCCATCAGTCTTGGGACTCCATCTCATCACTACCTCTTTCCATCTGACTCAAGGTGGAACCATGAACTCCAAAACTTCCTTTAAGGAGGGAGCTCAGCTCAGATGTCTCCTCCTTTCCCACCTGGCTGCACTCCTTTGGGACCTCTCTGCCTCCTCTACCACAGCCAGGTCATTGGTACCTCCCTACCTTTTCTGCTTTTTTTTAATGTGTTCTCTTCTCCTATTAGACCGTAAGCTCCTTGAGGGCAGGGACTATCTTTCTTTCCCCAGCACTTA